TGAAGAGGGCGCCACCAAATTTTGAGGACACTTTTTTAATTGGCTCAAAGAGAGAAGTGGCCCATCTTGTCTTGTACTATCTTTGACTCAACTGACTATTCTTTTGTCTGGGCGTAGATCGATACCAGCACACGATGTAGCAATGAAATGTTTTGAATTTAATTTCAGAAGATGCTAAACATTTTCTATACTTGGAGTATGAGTATTGAGAGACCAGTAGCATTCAAAAAATTGTGCCTACGTAAGTTAAATTATCGTAAACATGTATTATAATTATGGGAACTCACCAGCAAACACGTTGAACTTGAACAATGGCGACCAGTGAAGCTAGAATCTAGATCTGGACTACACAACTGACGACTGACGATATCCTGAATCAAATGAATTGCCAGCCGCTGTAAAAACACTGCTCCTCTCTGATTGGTCGCGTCTCGGCCAATTGTGTCAGAAGAACGCAATGACCCTTTTTCGTCAGGACGGGGACTAGGCTAGGCCTACTAGCCTAACTGCATTGTATCAGTGGCCACCAAACATTCGAGAGGGCAGTTCAAAATGCAGTAGGCCTATACAGATTTTAGTGTTACAGGGAAGCCAAAAAAGTTATAACGAAGAAAACAGCATTAAAATTTGCTTCTTTATGACATAAAGATAATAAGGAAGTTATCATCAAAATTGTATCCTTGAAATAAATATTGACTTGGGATGTTTGCAAAGAGTTTGTTTTCTCGGTAACAATATTCAATTGTTATTGTGTGTCTGGTTTTGTTGTTGTTGTTGTTATTGTTGTTTGTTCGAGGGGGGGGGGTTGTTGTTTTGTTGTTTTTTTTAATTATTAATTTGTTTTGTTTTGTTTTGGATGAGGTGTTTCTTTTGTATGTTTGTTTTTGTAGCGATTTTTGTTTGTTTGTTTTTCTATTGGGGGAGGGGGGAGGGCGTTGGCTCTCCTGTAAAATTGTAAAAATTGTATACTGTAATTTTAAAATATGACGGCAGAGTTCGTCTCGACTACAGCTATGCTACCATGCAGGAGCACAAATTGGTAAGTATATAGTGTTTGTCGCGCGATCAGGACTTGGTCAACAATTATTTCTTAATTTCTTTTATTTCAATTACTTTTCTTATCTTTTTTTTTTGGAGGAGGGGGGGGGGGCACTTGTTCCCTTTTGGAATGCTATATGCTTGTGATCTTGTCTATATCCGACCATCATTGAGTACAAAAATGTGAGTGAGTAGGCACAGTGATACTTCAACATTAAAGTGGAACAAGAAGAGAATTGAATAAATAATATACAATGATTAGTTCTACATGTTCATGTTTAATTATTTCATTTAGCAGTGTTTTTCTATAGCTAGCTTTTGTTACCTATTCTAGCCCACGCTCCCCCCTCCCCCCCAACCCCCCTTTTCTCCCAGGAGGACATGGGAGGTTGGACACCTACCCCTTACTGGTGTGGTCTGCTCCTTCTTTTCTATCAAACATCTATCTTTCTTATCTCTCCTTCTTCTTTTTTTGTGTATGTTTCTTTCTTGTAACACCTCTAATCTTCAGCATTTTAAAAAAGTTATATGACCTAATTGTACAAGTACCGTAAAACTCTGACTAAACTAAAGTATTGTACTCCAAAAACAGGGCGTCTTCAAGCGTTCAAAATGAGCGTCCTGAAAGTGTTATGTCTCCATGAACAACCAAGAGCACCCCACAGCCCAGCATAGTACACACTCAGGCTCTCAGACTCGCAACTGTAAGGTCGTGGGTTCGAATCCTGTCAGGGACCCGACGTTGTGTCCAGGGGCGAAGGATGACTTGTTTGACAGGGTAATCAAAGTGAGGTGGGACCAGATAGGGCCTGCAGATATCACACTCACACAAGTCACAAGAATCTTACTGGCACTGGAGACTCGAGGCGTCAACTCTGAGTTGTGAATGAAGACAAATCCTGAATTCATGTTGTATGCATATTCAACCGCTAAAATAATCGGGAAAGTATTTTTTATTAAATATTTAGATTTGAACACACGAACACCAAGGAAAGAAGCAGAGATGCCAGTACTACAATGGCAGACAGCCGAAACACTTTGGTAGAGCATGCCAATTATTAATTTTTTATTTCACATTTGGCTGTTTTTTTTGTCTAGCTTTTCGCGGCCAGGAGCCGGTGTCACAATCGAGGTCACGATCTGATTATAGGACGTTAAAAGTCGAGGAAAAAAAACCCAAGCAATCGCAGTAGTCAAGATATTATTAGGAGTTAGTTCCCCTCACATCTGTGAGGTAGACTCGACCAGTGTAATAGTTACCTTACATAATCAGCGTGTGTGGGTGCTTATAACTGTGGCTCGAAAGGAGTGAACAGGGTATATATGCGGCAAATGAAACAGTTTTGACTGCTATGCACATGTTCCCTTCAACTCTATTGGTAGACTCTTCCAGCCTCACTTTAAGCTTACTTAATCGAAGCTTGCGACTGCTTATGGAGTGGCCCGATAGGGGCGAACAAGTTATTTCTGTGGCAATGAAACGGTTTTGAAGGTTAGGCATAGTCTATTGTTCATTGGTGATCATGAACGTCTCTTTACATTTAATTTATGAGGTTTACGTCTAAGGGTGAATTTGACTGCGACAATGTTTGAAAATTAGGAAGGGAATCAGTGATTATTTGATTATATAGACGCTTCGCCTCTGGTTGTGTCCATGGGAATCGCACTTTACCCGAGTTTTCTTCATTTCTTGAGATGTTTCTGTTTTTACCCATATACAGCCAAGTGCCATCCCGGTTAGGCACAGCTACAAACATACAATGCCCTGACATATTTTGGGTCCAAACGCATGAGGTGGACATGGAAATGACATGCACTTGTCAGGAACTCACTCTAGTGCTGTATAATATTACGATCTAGGCATGGACTGGACAAGGGAAGACACAAGGAGGGGGGGTATTTTTTTTTTTTATTATTTATATTTTAAAAAATTATTTTTTTTTTTTTGGAGGGGGGGGGGGGGGGGGGGGCTTTCTTTTCACCATGCAAAAACCGCCTGACACGCGGAGTAGATGGGTCTATTAACTGCTACCAACGTTGAGCACTGCAGGGTCCATCTATGTCTCACAGTTCCAGGTCATTATTAGTTTACTTATGCCCACAGCACTTTGAATGGCAATTCTAGCTGCAGACCAGCGACCAAACAAAATATATTTGCTTTTTAAGTCTTTATCCAGTCTTTTTTAAAAGTATTTCTATGTGAGCCAATATTAATTATCGCTCTTTGGGTGTATACACAGGGTCAATATTTTTAGTTTTTGGTGACCTTTATGAAGGGGCTTTTAGATTCTGTTGGTTATCCTACTGACCCGTATGCAAAGAAAAGAGAAGATTTATCAGTACGATATATAGGCACTTCAGTGAACGCGCTCACTACAGCGTGATTTGGCTTCGGAAAGTCCCATAGGGTTTTGTTTCCGGACATGACGTCTCATCGCGACAGTGGGTTCAAACTGCCCATATTTTTGTTTAATTTAAGGGACCAACATTCAAGTCCGATACATGTCTTTAAAGACCGTTGGATGGCCTTCAAAACGCTTTTTTCCAAGTCGATGTGCGACTAATGAGTCTCGAAATATTTTAAGTTGAAAAGTTGACAATTTTTAACCATTGATTTTTGATAAATTTTCTGGTCACATTTTTTTCTAACTACCCTTGTTGGTAAACCATTCTTTGTTCTTCCAGAAAACGTTTAAATGGTTATCGTAGAAGTCTTATCTTGGCTAGTGAAGTTTTACTCTTTTATTAACCAAATCCGCGAAAACCTAGCTGAACCCTTCCAACGTGACATCGCCCCGTGCCGTGACGTCACACATTTTGCGCTTGAGCTTTTGGCTCCCCCTGTTCATTGTTTGAAATGTACGAGACTGGGAAATACATCGCCAAGAGATTTTTAAACTTAATTTTTAAAAGTTAAACAATGTTGGTGATGTTTTATAATCACTGAACTTACATTGTGCCTTTGTTTATTCGAGAGTATAAAGAAAACGATACCTTTTAGACCCAAGTATTTCCTTTTCACTGAGCTCCCCCCTCCCTCCTTTTTTTCCCCTGCCCAAAGCCTTTCATTGCGTAGGGCCTAAATCTAGTGTAAAGAGTCCGGTCTCGTGTTGTTAACACGGTCAAAATTAAATTGGGACGCCTATTGAAGTATCTGAATCAATTATTTGCTTAATAAAATTTCTTAGGTCTATTGCTAATACTGATCCAGATTTTCTTTCTTTTCTGTCGTATGAACAAGAACGAAAAATGCTATGTACTGGAATGTGGGATCCACTGCATGCCTGCCTCCCCCCCCCCCCCCTCTCTCTCTCTCTCTCTCTCTCTCTCTCTCTCTCTCTCTCTCTCTCTCTCTCTCTCTCTCTCTCTCTCTCTCTCTCTCCCTCCCTCTGTGTGCGTGTGTGTGTGTGTGTGTGTGTGTGTGTGTGTGTGTGTGTGTGTGTGTGTGTGTGTGTGTGTGTATGTGTGTGTGTGTGTGTGTGTGTGTGTGTGTGTGTGTGTGTGTGTGTGTGTGTGTGTGTGTGTGTGTGGTTTCATGTGTTCCCACTCCCCTCCTATTTTCATAACCGGACCTCAATTTTCTTCTCCTTCCCTCTTTACCTGCTCTTCAACTTAATAGACATTTTCTCTATTATATATCCTTCTTGTTGTCTAATTGTTCTTATAATCGCCACCGCCGCCATCCTTCCACGACTCACGGTATTAGCTGTGTAAGCCCATTACTCTTTTCCATTGATAGAACAACCCTCTAGAATGATGCCAGTTGTAACAAAGTGAGCACTTTTGCTCCTCAGTTCTTACTTTACTTTACTTTTTCCTTCCTCTGGTATCCTTAGGATGTCGAGGGGAGGTGCAGGTTTCGGTGTCTGTGATATATAAATATGTTAATTAGTTATATTGTTCCAGGACCTTTTTAACCCCGTCCAGTCAGGTCTTTCTTGGCCTTCCTCTTGATTTAAAGCCGGATTCGCGGGTGTGGTAAGCTCTAGCCGCTAGTTGTTTCTGGGGCATTCTGGTTAGATGTCCGAACCATTTGACTCTTTGGCGCTCTAATAGATTTACTACTGGTAGACGTATGTTCTAGTTCCTTATGCGGTCTCCTCTGGTGACGTTGGTGGTTTTACGGAGACGCCTAATTTTGCGTGCATTGATTTTCCTTTCTCATGTCTTATTTAGAGACCATGTTTGGCACTGGTATGTTAATGTTGGTATGAAGATTCTATTGATGAGCTGGGATTTCACTTCAGTTGGGATGTTCTTGTGACTGAGAAGCTGTTAAGTCACTGCATTTGCCTTCATGGTTCCTGTTTATGTTTCTTTGTCCATACGCCCATCTAGTGGGAAGGTGCTTTCCAAATATTTAAATTCCTCTACATGTTGTTGTGTCCCGTCCATAAGGATGCTGAGTTTCCCTGGGGGTTTTTCAAGTCTTCATAACTTCTGTTTTGGAAATGGAGATTTTCCTGTTTAGGTGTTTACATTCTTCATTAATTAATTTTTGTCGTGTGTTTTTGTAATTGCTCTTCATCCGTATTTAATGTACTCTGGTCATCAGCAAATATAAGCTCAGTTCATTGATGTTGTTATTTGCTGCTTTCGTGATCTTATCCATCCATGTAAGTGATGAAGAGAAGCTGAGAGAGAACACACCTTTGTCTCACCCCAGACCTGATGGGGAAACAGTCCGATAGTCCTTATATTGATCTTACGGCACACATGCTGTTTTTATTAAGTGCCATGATGTTCTCCAGCAATTGTCCTTTTACTTTTACACCGTATTCCTCTAAGACTACCCCCCGGAGCGGTGCATTTTATGAAGCCAAACTGGGATGCATTGAGTTGAGTCTCTACAATAAGTCTCATTCTCATTTCCAGTGTCTTGGCAAACGTTATATCCACACGGCTGAGAAGAGATATTCTTCTGTAGGCTCTGTGTTGTTGTTTTTTCACCCAGGCCATGATAAATTGTATCCTCCATAGCCAGAGTTCTCCGATATGGCCGTATAGTTTGATATCTTCTGGTGTGATGTTTTCAACGCCTATCGCTTTGTTTGTGGGGCTTTTCTTTATAACATGTTTGGTTTCACTCAGCAGTAGTGATGGTTCTGGAGTGGTTTCTTTCTGTAGAAGCTGTTTGCTGTTGTTTCTGCTGTAGGATTCAGCAGCTCCTGGAAATAGTGTTTCCATCTTTCCTTAATTTTTGGCTTTCTGAAAATAGGTTTTCCGTTCTCATCTTTGACTATTTCAGTTGGCTTGAATGGTTCTTCCAGCATCCTCATGCTTTTTTAACTCTCTAGTAAAACTCTCATGGGTCTTCTTTACATTTTGTTACCAGCTGTTCTCCATATACTGCCCAGGATCTGTTCTTAGCTTCTTTTACTACCCTTGATATTTAGCGGCGTTCCTTTCTGTATAGGATGTAATCTTCCTCTGTCTTTGATTTCTGCCACTTTTTGAATGCCTTTTTCTTCAGTTGGACGGCGTCCTTCACTGGGTCATTCCACCATAATATCGTTTTTTTTCTTTTTCGGCCCTCTTGTTTTCCTGGTGCCCAACTCTTCTTTTAATGCTCTGTACACACATGCTTTGAAGTGGCTCCATTCCTCTTCCATGTCTCCCAAGTTTTGGGGGAAATTTGTGAAATACATCTTTCAAACGTTCATGTATCTTATCCTTGTTATTGTCATTTATATTTCTGAGATTTACGACTTCCCATCGTTTCTTTGCTTCTGGCCTTTTCCTGTTTGGTGTGTCAATAGTCATGATGACTGGTCTGTGGTCAGTGTCTGTGATGTAGATGGGAATCACTCTTGAGTCTCTGATTTTTCTCAGTTTCGATCTTTTGGCTAGGATAAAAATCAATTTGTGATGCTATCTTTAGATCATTGCATTTGCACCAAGTTTTGAATTGACTCCTTCTGTGTTGGAAGAAGGTATTTGATATGACGAGCTCATGTTCTGCACACAACTGTAATAGCATTTCTCCATTGCTGTTTTGATCTGTTTCCCTGTCACTGTGTGGCCGCATGTATCTCTCCCACGTCGTCTTCCTTGTTTCCACTCTGCCGTTAAAGTCCCCCATCATTGTCACATTACCTTTGTCATCCACGGTGTTTAAAAGGTCACTCAGTTGATCATAGAACTGGTGTCGCTGTTTTTCGGGATATGAGTCATCATGGTGTACTCTCAGTAATTGTCATATTCTATGGTGATTTCCCGCTTTATACCATACTCGTTGAATTTTTTTCATATTCTTCAAGTCTGTGTTATGCTTGGGTTTAACGGCACTTGCAACACAAAAAGGTCACATAAGCCCCGAAGATTAGAGGTGTTACAAGAGAGTAACATACACAGAAAAAAACGAAGAGAGATAAGGACGGTTGATTGTTAATAGGGAAAAAGGAATAAACCACACCCCAGAGCACCCGCCAACCTACTGCTTGAGTTATGCATGCAAGATTGAAACTGCTTTCAATTTTAATCATTTTTCCCCAATAGCAAGTTACAGAACTCTTTAAAACAAAATAAGTGATGTTTTTCTTTTGAAAATCGGACCATTATTAGGGAAAGTGTGCCCGTTTCTTTTTTGGGATAATAGGCAATGGACTCTCGACGTCACGATTATGACGTAATTAAACGGTAAATAGAATTTTCCTCTTAATGTACTTGACTTTTATTTTTATACATTGATTTTACATAAAACAGCAAACAAAATGATACCCCAATGGTCACGATACAACTATTATTAAGGATTTTATGACGTTGTGAAGCAAAATTTCGAGTTTTGGTGGCACAAAAAGCAGTGCAAAAATTTGGCCAAATCAGGGCGAAAACTGATTTACAAAAACGATCGCTGCTTCTAAACTAACAAAGATAGCACCAAAATTTTAAAAGTTCTGAAAACAGAAAGCCAAGCTCTTTTCAATAATCCAAATTTTAGTGCCGTCGGAGAAGTTTGAAAATTTAACTGAAGCGCCTAGTTCAAACGCGTGAGGTGGACATGGAAATGACATGCTCTTGTCAGGAACTCGCTCTAGTGCTGTATATAATATTATGAGCTTGGCGTGGATTTTACAAGGGAAGACACAGGGGGGGGGGGGTATTTTTTATTTGTATTTATTTATTCTTTTTAAAAAAATTTATTACTTTATTTTTATATATATTTTTTAAAATGTATTTATTTATATAAAAATATTTATCTTGAACTTTCTTTTCACCATGCAAAAACCGCCTGACACGCGGAGCAGATTGGTCTATTAACTGCTACCAACGTTGAGCATTAGTTTACTCATGCCCACAGCACTTTGAATGGCAATTCTAGCTGCAGACCAGCGACCAAACAAAATATATTTCCTTTTAAAGTCTTGATCCAGTCTTTTTAAAAAGTATCTCTATGTGAGCCTATATTAATTATCGCTCTTTGGGTGTATACACAGGGTCAATATTTTTTAACCTGCCGTAGGCTTGCCTCAGAGAATACGTGTCGGAACCTTAGTTTGCGGTAATCTTTATGAAGGGGCTTTTAGATTCCGTTGGTTATCCTACTGACCTGTATGCAAAGAAAAGAGAAGATTAATCAGTACGATATTAAGATTGTATCTCTGTTTTAACCCGCGGTCAGACGAAAGTAAACAATCGATAGGGCCTAATTATATTTTAAGGGAAAGTGCTACTGCCGAAAGTATTATCTCTTTAGAATCTCCATATTATACACAATGTGTTGTGTTATCACTGAATTGTAACTGACATCTTTGGCCAGATCTGGCCCGCAGGGCGTAGTCTGGAGACCCCTGGTCTAGTCAGAGTAAAGAATATGACCAATAAAGACAAGGGTGTTGAGAACCCAAAGTTGAAACATAATAATGATAAATCTTGGATAATTATGTCTATGATACAGCACTCGATCACGGCAACTCACCTCTTTTGCTTTCAGAATATAATATTATAGGCTATAGTTATAATGTGTTGATGTTTTAGGCCTACACCCCCCCCTTTTTTTCAACACAGCCGTTTAGATAATTTAGGAGGCTGGCTACTCCAACCCTGTCAGCCATGGCCAATACGGGTTGAGAATGCTACAACTTCCCAGCAGACAAATAGAGATACTGATTTTTTTGTTAAAAGTCTTCTCACACTAGAATCAAACTCACACCTTCGTGCGACGGCGAGGTGCTTAATTGCTACACTACAGACGTCGGTGCGTTCAACATCGAGACCAATTGAGCCAAAGGCTTATTAAGGAAACCAATCACGTCACAGGTGTGTGGGCACAAACGCCAAAGTGACTCTAGCTGATGAAACAAATCACAGTATTTCAAATGTTGGTAGAAATAATGTTTATTAATTTTTCCCGAAATAAAACATATAAACCTCCGACATAAAAATGAAAAGGTACGAAACACGAACTGTTTGTAATACTATTGTGATCGTGAGAACAGAGCAACAAAGATAATAATAGATGACAATTGCATAATTGTATAGCGTAGTCTTTATCCACGCTATAGACCTTACGCGCTTTACAACATTTAGGAGTAGGAATGGACATGTCTCTATATCAAATTTATGCTATAAGATTGTACTCTTAGATCGGCACTATCACTATCACGGCGACTGCTTTTCATTCTCTGTTTTAAAAAATTCCTCTGCGAAGCGTGCGCACTGTGGGCAGTGTTACGTAATAGTTACTACGCCCAGACCAACGGCAAAACTTCAGCTTCGTTATGATCGAGTGCACATGATGCATTTCTCCTGCCTTTCATTTTTCTCAAAATGTTGCGCTCCACAGTGAGAAAGAGAGGCGCCAGAGAGCATGGTCTAGGATATATACGATCTAGACCCACATACGATATAGACAGGCACAGTAATGTTATTGAACAAGCGAGCCTTCCGAATCTTACGACCATCTCCGATAAGACTGAGCCAAATAGAGTAGGAACCTTAATTAAAAACAACCCAAGTTCAGAATGCTCAGTTGAAAGATCGAATCCAAGCCACCTGCTCTGTGCTTCAGAACAGATTGTTAAATTAATGTGTGCTAACGAGTTAGTAAAAAGAACCCCCCCCCCCTTTTTCCCCCTTCTCCATAGCGACGGGTGAATTAAATGTTATGCACTTCTAGATTCTATGTCGTTCTATGCTGCCTGCAACAATTTGTTTATTTTCCTTTTTATTTTCTTTTTCTTTTTTTTTTTTTTTTTTTTTTTTTTTTTTTTTTTTTTTTGGGGGGGGGGGGGGTTCAGTAGCAGAGAATATAAGCTTTAAGCGTTTGAGCTCCAATATGTGCGACAAGTATGGTCCACGAACCAAAGACGGAAAGTATTTTCAATAGGGCATGGCAAAAGACAGTTGAGGTTATGCGTACATTGGTTTCAGTACGCTAAAGAGCACAAATCAATCGAAGGACACTTGGACTTTTTTTAAACCATTGATGTGGACATGTGTAGACACTGCTAAGAAAAATTACCCCGGTAATGAATGGCCTAGAACAAGACACCTCGCAACTGGGCTAACAATTTCGAACCCTAAAAGATGTCATACTATCTGGATTTTGCTCTGAACAACATTTTCATTGTCACGTGTCCCCTAGAAGGATATAATATTCTTTGGTTCATGTGATCCAGAAGAAGGCAACAAGAGACGATTACTCAGCTACTAAAAATCCACTGCATGATAAACTGAAACAAGAAGAACGTAGCTAGGAACAACCATTGTCCAGGTCTGCAGGCCAGAGCTCGCGATATTCCTTGCGATGTGCCCGTTTTGCTGTCCTGTTTTGCTAGGTCTCTGACAGCGAGGAGTTCACCCTCTGGAACGTTCCTGTTCTGCAGAGGGGATTCCTGTGGGCAGCTGCCAGAGCAAACATTCTCTTTGTTATCCATTGACCCTCGATCGTTCCGTGAAGTGTGGTTAGGATATTTCGCTCCATCAGTGAGAGCACCATCTCTACTGTCCATCGCACAACCAGCACTGCCACAGCAACCACCACCCTTACAACAACCAAAGCTAATACCGCAACCGTCGCCATTCAATCCCCCATTTCCACCAGAACTGCCATTGTAAATACCCGATAACAGTTCATATTCCTCCTGATGTCCACGCTGCTGGAACCTGAAGCCGCCACTACCCTGGTCCCTGTGCAGCTTGTAAGAGGGTGCACTGCATCCCTTGTTACAATCGTAATTTTGCTGTTCGTGTGACTCCATAACCTGGCGGTTGGCAGGGGGAAGGGTGGGAACGGAAAGGCCTTGAAGTAGTCTGCTTGTAAAGTCACCATGTCTGTCCTCGTGGAAACTTGACGACTTTCTGCTCGCTCTTGAACTCCCCTTCAGCGCTTCGTTCCTGTCTTTGACTATAGAACCAATAGTAGTGATACGTTTGCGCTTTCCGGAGGGTCGTTTCGTGGTCGTCTCTGTACGTAGTTCCCACACTGGCTGCCCCCCTTCCCCTTGTACCGGCATGCACTGGGTCCCGACACACCGGACCTCCGGATGCGGCAAAGAGGTCCCCTTGTCGCTTGTTGGGAAAAAGTCCATCGTGGACTGGTACAAGATATCATCGCTGGAGTCCACGCAATCCCCAGATCCGGCGTCTGAAGTACTCCCACCGATCACGTGAGATATACGTTGTTTCGTTCGCTCACTCAGCGTGCGCTTTCCAGAGCTGCTGCATCTCCTGTTTGACTTCCATTGTTTCCGATTCCGTGACTTTGACTTCACATTAGAAATTGTACTTTTGTGATTAGGAAAACTCCGTTTTTCGTCATAATCAGAAGTATCAAACGTCATCATTTGTTGCTCTTTTAAGTCCACAGTTGATGCTACGCCACACAACACTGGAGATGCATCCTTACAGTCAAAGGTATGGCACCGGTCGTCGCTGGTTGAGGTGTCAGGTTTACTGGTGCACTTTCCTTTTTCTGAATAATTCAAAGATTCACTTCCATTTCTTTGAGCTGGCATTTTTTGGCACACGGGAAGGAGTGAGCTATCGATTGTCTCAGGAGAGTCCCCAAATATACTTTTTTGCTCTGCTTTTCCTAAGAACTGGCTCAAAATTATGGGCCCGTCTCTATACAGTTTACCGTCAAATTGAGATGAGAAATCTTTATTCAAAGAAACATTAGTAGAGCGTTTATCTAACAAGTTCTGTTTTTCTCCAAAATTGGCCTGAGTTCTGGGAGATGTCCAGTCTTGCGGTTTCCCACTGTTTAACGGTGCTTGTCCTGCCGGGCTGTGAGGATGAGATATGAAGGAGTTCTGTTTTTGCTGGAAGTGTTTATTTGATTTGTGAAACTCATTTCGTTTTTCGTGTATATGATCTTTGCGCCCATCATCAAGATTCTGTTGTCGCTGCAGGTGCGATTTCTGGTCTTCCTGTATGGGGAGCTCCTGTTGTGCTTGGGTCGTGGCTGTCTCTTGTGTACCTTGCATACTTCCAGCCCCTATCGAGGGTTTAGAGACTAGTTGATGTTGAGAATGTGCCATACTGGTGTGTTCATTGCCGCTCATCTCACGGGGCATTTTGTCGTGTCCACAGACGTTCCCCAAGGGTCTAGAGCCGATGCTGTGGTCAGTAGTGAGTCGATCACCATCAGACTCGGAACTTTCTAGATTCCACGTGGAGAGAGGCTTGTCCCACCAAGCACACACATTCTCGTGAAGAGCTTTGATGACGTCACTCGTTTTCTCAGGAGATGTTCCCTCTGACCGTCCCATGACAGATCCATTCGGCGTGTTCAGTTCAGAAAGATCTGAATCGAGAGGTTCTGTGACAGCTGCGGACTTTCCAACTTGTGATCTTTCCCTATTATCTATATCATGGTTACCCGGAGATTCTCTCAAACCTGGACTATTCTCGTTATCGTGTTCTTTAAGACTATTTCCCAGAAACAGTGTACCATGTGTGCCAATTGATGCTGTCTCTTGTGGGCTTCGCTGTGAACCGGTCAACATCACATGGCATTCCTCTTCTCCCTGTTCATCATTCGTTTGGTGGTCAGATATCGTCTCGGACTCGGTGATTGGATGTGATCTAAATTCTGCAGTGTCATGTACCAGAACATTCCGCGCTTTTGTTGTAATTTCTTCATTCAGTCTACTTCTTTCTGAGTCTACATGTCGGATATTTGAATCCACACTTGCATCTTTCGGTACCTCAACCTCCTCTCTCCTTTCGTTTATTCGAACTTCCTCCCCCATAGACACCATTCTATCTTGTTGTTCCCCAGGAAAATCTGCAGAGGATCTGCTGACACACCATGTGACGTCATCAATACTGGCTGTGATGACGACTTGGGAAATCTCTTTCGTGTACAGTGAGTTGTCTGTGATGCTGGTGGACACATCGGTGGAAGAGTTGTCTCCGCCCTCTGGGAAGGACGTTACATCTATACGCTGTTGAGCTTGGGCGTTGTCGACTGCCGTCTCAACTTTAGCGTGACAATGTGAGTCTGCAACAAGAATTGTTGAAACCTTGGCGAATGACTGAAGTAAAGACAATAACAATAAAGTTAAATTTGTGAGGCAGCGTGGTGGAATCTGGCTCTCGTCAAAATAATCAAAATGAAAAAGCTTGCATTTTTCCACAGGTTTGTGAATTTTTATCAAATGTTTTGTTTTTTGGCTCAATACCTTTCATGCTCATTAAAGAACTCATTTCTGTGTGGAATGTTCAGAAAAACGTTGATTAAAGGCACAAAAAATGTAAATTTTCAATTACCACGAACTTTTAAGCTTTTAAGCTTTAGACTAATCCTTGGCGGCCATTTTCTCACTAATTTTACCTCTGAAAACAGATGACCCCCACCTCCTTCTTTCGCAAATATCTCAACTTGTATTCAAGATAACTGGATA